TGACTGTTTGAGGTTGTGGACAGGTGTCTTTTATACTGATAACGAGTTCAAACAGGTGCCATTAATACAGTTAACAAGTGGAGGACAGAGGAGGCTCTTAAAGAAGAAGTTACAGGTCTGTGAGAGCCAGAAATCTTGTTTGTTTGTAGGTGACCAAATACTTATTTTACCAAGGAATTTACCAATTAATTCATTAAAAATCCTACAATGTGATTTCCTGGATTCTTTCCCCCAATTCTGTCTCTCATAGTGTACCTAGGATGAAAATTACAGGCCTCTCTCCTCTTTTTAAGTGGGAGAACTTGCACAATTGGTGGCTGACTAAATACTTTTTTGCCCCACTGTATATATATTCTAATTTTGTTTAAACTGTCCCTTTAATTCTTAAAACAATATTCTCTCGATTAAGCCAAAAACTTTTCCTTTGATGTTGTTGCTTTCTCTCACAGGTCAGAGGTAAAAGCCAGACAGGATGTCAAACCTGACTACCGCCATCCTCCATTCACTGATTACAGGCAACCTCCAGTAGACTACCGTCACCCGCCGGTCTCTGATTATCGCCAGCCGCCGACGCTGGACTACAGACACCCGCCTGGCATGCTGGACTTCAGACAGCACCCTGCAGCTGCACAGTTTCCTCTGGGGCTGCCTCCTGACTTCAGACCCCAGGTAAACCCAGACCAGGATCCATTCACTTGAGATGAGACTGAGTTGTACAGATGAATTTGTATCCAGTTAGCCAGCACACTGTAGAGTTGGTTTTCGCTATAATGGTCATACACTGTTATTTGCGGTGGGTTTGTTAAAAGTTCTCTACATGTTTTTTCTGTAGGACTATGATTACTTTACGGTGGAGCTGGAGAAAAGTACAAAGGGTTTTGGCTTCAGTATCCGCGGGGGCCGAGAGTACAAGATGGACCTGTTTGTGTTGCGCCTTGCTGAAGATGGTCCCGCCATACGTAATGGAAGGATGAGGGTGAGACGACAAAGTTGAACAGCTCTTGTTGTTTGTTTGAGTCACAGATGTGCACTGAGAAGCAGCAATATGTCAGTTTGACCATCTGAACCTTCATCGAAAATATACACATATCACAACATGCTTGTCTGTGATTTATTCATCTCAAAGAATTTAAAGCTGTTTTGAAATGTAACAGCACATAGTTTAGCATTTCAAAGGAAGACCGTCCCTGCTGTTGCTCTTTGCAACATGGTTATTATCTTTCACTCCTTTTATCAATGCAAATCTTTAATTGACTGTGTGCCCTGCTTGGGGCAGCATTAGCTCATAGTTAGGAAAGCGTGACACTGAGTAAGTCTATGTGCACATGAACTCAGCTCACCCTTAAAAACTCCATTTGAGGTTCACTTGAACAAAGCAGCAGCTGCTCAGTGGAGCTCCACACCTACAGTTGATCACTCTATTTTCTTTAGACAAACACAAGCTGACAGAAATCGACCCTCCGCTCTGTGTGTCTCCTCCAGGTAGGGGATCAGATCATTGAGATTAACGGGGACAGCACTCGGGACATGACTCACGCCCGCGCCATTGAACTCATCAAGGCGGGGGGCCGGCGGGTCAGGCTGCTGCTGAAGCGCGGCTCAGGGCAGGTGCCAGATTATGGTAGGTAACCCAGGAACAAATTAAGTGTCTAACCTCTTTTCACTCTCCTCTGACCTGATCACTTTCTAACCTTTATACTAGAGATTCATTGTTTGAGGTTCAACAAGAATGCTACGTGTTTTAACATTTTAACATTTATATCTTTCTGCCTTTTACTCCTGGCTCTGCAGTCTTTTGCTCTGTATTTAAACTTGTCTTTATGTGAACAACTACTTTGTCCTTATATTAGAATAACACCCTTCCCTTTAGCCCTCGTGTGTTGTAACCCCTCTGCTTTAAATCTAATGATTGGTATAGGCTCTTACTTGCCTTCCCTCAGGAATGGTACCTTCCAACCTCTCCATGTGCATGAAAGGTGAAACACTAAGCTCCCCCTATTTCTTCCTAATGGGACACTCTAAAGACACGGTTTGTGGAAAACTGCACGTCTCTCCATACTGATTAATCTGTGTTCAGTGTAGCTGTGCTCTTGGCATGCGTGTATGTATGGTCATGAGTTAATGCATGGGAAAATGGCAGGCGTGTGAATTGATGTGTGTTTCTCTGCGGTGGCTTCTGCGTGTTGCAGTAAGAGAGCAATATGCTTTGAAGTGACCCTCCAGAAAATTGTATCATCCTGAAGAGGGCTGTAAAGTAGACAGTGTGAAATCAATCTGTTCAGGATCAGTCTGTCACACAACTACAAACATGCTCATTGTTTTCAAGCACTGAATGAATCCTGCCCCACATGTCTGTTGTGGTAGATTACCATTCAGGTGTAGAGGCCTACATGGTCAGGTGTGTGTGCTCCTCACACACATTTGCATGCAATTTGCCTGATATTATATTAGTATTAGATGTTTGATTGTATTATTGTGTACATCTTTGTTCTCTCTTCTTTTTTCCTCTTCTTATTCTCTCTGTGTGCATGTGCATGCAGCTTTGTGCCACTCTGCTTTTACCTTTTACCAACCTGAGAATGTTTTCGTGTTCCCTGACAGACTGTGACGGCCCCTGGGATTCCTTTTCTACAGCCCACTCTGCCCTGCAGGAAGTGACCCTCGAACCCTACCCGAATCCATTGCTCTCATCCCATCCAGCCTCATCCCCAGACTCCCTTCATCAGCTCCCTCTAGAGGCCACAGTGTGCATGGCAGACAAAGCTCCACACCTGACAGACCACAGCTCCATGAGAGGGGCTACAGGTGGCAGGTCCACCCAGCAGAAGTGCATCATCAGGGGGCAGGGAGCCCCTCAGGGGTCTGGAGAGACGGACTGTGACAGACAGCCTCGGGCTTTGCCTCCCAAAGCTGTCCTGGGGAGGTCTGTTGAAAGAAGAGAGCAGAGGCAGAGGGAGACTTGCTCCCCCTGCTGTGAGAGGAAGGGTCTGCACACACAGGCCATGAGCACTGTCTGGCCCTGGGACCCCTATGTGAGTGTGAATCTTAATGGAGCCTCTCTCGGTGGCAGAGAGGGACACGTCAGCCTCCAGGAGAGGCTGGTGTCCAGAGGTCTGTTTCCCAGAGAAGACGAGCGGGCCAGTGGGCTCTGCTGCCCCTCCAAATCCATGGAGGATAATCCTGCGAGGAGCACCGCGGCCTCCCCTGGACCCTGGAACGTCCCCGGCTCTGACAAACTTCCCGGCACCCTGAGGTCCTGGACCTCCACAGTGAGCAGGTAGAATGATCTGGCTGGTTCCGACCGGATCACACTGTCTGGCTCCGCTTTCAGTTCCCCATCAGATGGCTAGGAAACAGCAGTAAATCCCCCTCACCCTCTCTTTCTGTCCTGTTTTATTTCTTCATCCACTTCAAAAATCATATTTTATTTTTCATTTTTTTCTTACAAATAAATCATTATTACACCCACCACCTTAAAAACAAAGGAACTTCACAGCTGTTGTAACATTCAGTATAAAACCGATAAAGAAAACATAATACTGCATTTTGGACCCTCAGATGCAACAGTGTTCTGATCACAGATGGAGCAACAATTTCTGATTCTGAGTGGAGCTGTGCTTTCGACGCGTACCTTTACCTGCTCGACCGTATCTGGCTCAGATTGGTGAGTGCAACGTAACCTCAGAGGGAACAAGGTTCCTCCCAGGACAGAGACATATGAACATCCAAGAGATTTACTTTGCTCCATTTTCTCTCTGCAGTGCGAGAAGAGTGAGAGTACAAATCTGTCAGAGGGGGACAGTGACACTGACACTCCTGGAAGACATGGCACAGACCCACTGGACAGCCTTTTAACCCGACATATGTTAGATCTCACATGCCTACCAATATATCATATACTGTAAATGTAAAGATGTGAAAAATATGTACATTTGGTAATCACAGAAACATACCTGTTGGTGTTTTTTGAGGCAGTGTTGTAGTTAGATACATTGTAAAGAAAAGAGAAAAAAAACACCAGGACAGTATTTTAGGATCACTATTTCCATGGCCTCGTCTATTACTACATATCAAACTGACTGCAAGTCACCAAACCCAGTGTGCATGGATATAAACCACCATGTCTTTATTCAAGGACTCACGTGTCTTTTAGAGGTGAAGTATAGAGAGGATAACCTCTGTGGAGCGGACCAGTTGCTACTCACGTGAGACTAAAAGAAAATCTTTTTTTTCTCATCAAATTTAACTTTTGCGTGACTGAAAACACTTTGCTTTGTAAGAACTCATAATGTTCTGCGTTCCGTACGCAACTTGATCACAAGTCAAACATGCAGTCATTGTGCCGAACTATGAGCTGTGTTGTATTCATTTAATGCTCAACGATAGAATTTTGTCCAGTCTATATTTCCCATTTCTATGCCTTTTACTGTGCTAAGTGTACCACATCACTGTGGGGGAGGGGCATCGGTATGGGAAGAGGAGGCCGATGGATATGAGGTGGGGCGGAGTGCCTTACTCAAACTAATGCAGAGCTGTTGCCGTGGTGATTTGTTTCGGGAACTGAATGCAAAACAGATGTTAATGACCATGCACACATATCAGCAAACTGTTGAGTTGTGGAGCCTGTTTTCCTCTGACTTAACACCCAGCAGTATATTTACAGTTAACTTGATGCACTCTTATCATATTGATGATTGCCCTGGTCCCCTGGTGTTAAAGGGGATACAATGTAGCCTGTAGCATTACATCCTCTTCTGGAGTTGTGGTTTCTGTTGTTTCATCAGTCTCATTCCAGCTTTATTTGTCCATTAAGTAAAGGAAACAAACTGAGAATGCTCGTTGAATCTGAACCCAAGACGTTAGATTATCTGTGGAGCGGGTGTTCAATCAGAACATTTGGATCCTGGCAGAGCAGAGACGTGCTGCTATTGAACGGAGACACCCAAGATGAAGTCACTCTCCTCCTGCATTTCTCCTGACATCATCCATTCCTCTCAACAAGATGTTTGCTCTCATTAAAAATGTATCACCAGAACTTTGGAGTAGTGGAGGGCCAGATGAGTTTAGAAAAAGAATCACGATGCATTGTGACAATTCGCCTGAATGCAGCACGATGGGACATCCAAGCTGTACTGGTAAACTGGTGTAGGCCTAACTGGTCACCTGACAATGCACCTGCAGACTGGGACACTAGAAAGACCTGAACAGTTAATACAACTGTGTTTCATGTGATGAACATGTTACCAAGGAGCATGTCAACATGCCACTAGGCTGTAGAAATGTGTTTACTGTATGTACAAATGTCAAAGTTCAGAAAAGATGAAAGAATATTTTATCTAGCCCTCTGTCTCCGTCCAGGCCGTCCCCCTGCCTGCTGTGAGTGATTTTGTATACAAAAACAAAAAACTGCTTTATTGGAACTTGTGAAGGATGGCACGTTCATAAATCCCCATTGAGATCAAGTATAACTGTGTAGTGTTAATTGTGTATTATTCACCTTGTACAGCTGTATTCCTACAAATATGGTTTACTGTATCATTGATACTGTAGTTTCAAAGACGTGAACAACTATTTTTATGAAATGCGACAGTACTGATATATTACATTTTGCTAAAAAACAAAAAACTTGTTTACTGAAAGATATTCTGAAATACTGTCAAATAAACTCTTGACATGGTGTAAAATATGTATTTGTAGAGATTGTTTTACTTGTGACCATAATGGTGAGAACAGCAATCCACTAATCAGAAAAATCTTAAATGTGAGGTATGCTGCTTTTGAATGTTTCCTACAATTCTAAATCCAATATTTTTGGATGGACAAGACATTTGAAGACGGATATTTTACATACTGAACAATAATGATTGATAACAGAAGCCTTAGGTGAGACTAAACTAGAAACAATGTTAAAAATAATGGGTTGACATCAAGTTTTAAGTGTTTATTATATAACAAATCGGCCTCATATTTCCAACAATTATTTACCCACAGGAACAATTTAAAACCCTTGTATTCTTTTCGCACATACCAATTTAGCAGCCATGCACACTCACACAGGTTTCCTTTCTTCATTGTAGCTGCTTACACCTCTCTTCATCAAATGTTGAACAGAGCTATGCTGGGAGTTTTCTAAGGTCACCAGACTACATCCAAGAATCAGACTTGTGTTGATTCTGGGGGAAATGCATGTATCTATCAAGCTTACACTCAAAAACATTACCCTGAGAACAGATCAGTGAAGACAGCTGTGTGAGTGTAACCATGGCGCTCGGACACCAGGTACCATCTATTTAATGAAGTCAGGTCCACAATAATTATGTAAAGAATCAGTGTTGGAATCGCTGTGCAGCTTTGCAGTGAAAATGACAGATAATTAGGAGATATTGATACAAAAACCCCTCACAGGCAGATGAGCACTCATGTCTGAAACTTGCACCGACCCAATAAAACTATAAAGAAATTATCCAATGATCAACACATTTTTGAATAAAGCAGGGACGTATTCCATAATAAAACAACTTGTAAACATGTCCCCAGCATCTGGTCGCTGCTCAGTGGGTCAGGCAGAGACGGTGAGCAGAGGGCAGCCGAGTCATAGGGTCTCTTCTGACTGAACGCCATTTTCTGTAGGAATCAAGGTTTCACCGTTTGGATGCTCATCCAGAGGAGCTTCCTGATGAACACAAACATGCATAATGATCACAGTAAAATAAGGTTATTATCATAAAAAAGAGTAACATTTCAGTTGAGACATAATGGTGTCTACAGGGTTAAAGGTCATGTAATAATAATAATAATTGGCTTACCTTAAGATTTTTATATATTCCCATTTGTAAACGGCAGCAAACAACATCAACCAAGAATCCTATCGCACCATGGAGCATGCCTGCAGAAGAGAAGAAGCTCAGATTTACAGTTTCTAATGGGGGTTTAGCTGAAGTGAAAATAACTTTTCAAAGGTTTTTCAAAATGATGTTTAAGTGCTACCATCAACCTATTAATCATTTATAAAAAGGATGAATTTTGTGTTTTTGGCGCCTGTTTAATTCAAGTCTTTCACGAGTGACTGTCCACCCTCAAGCTGAATTATTCCTCAGCAATTTAAACTTGGAACTCTCCGGAAACTTCATCATCTTTGGGACAGTTAATGGCAATACATGAATCATCTCCTCCCATTATCTTTAATCATTTTGTGAAAACTCCTGACAGTCAGCTTTAAGAAGATGATTTACTGGATTAGAGTACAAGATTGGATAAAGTAACATTCTTAAATCCTGCTGTACCTAATAGACCAGAGGCACTTAGTGTGCCATGTCTTTAAAGCAGCATACCAGCATTGATGCCTGCTGCGAGCCCATTCAATGAATCAATAAAAATACATAAGATGTAAGATTCAATTAAATGTTGCATCTCAAAATAAAATTCAAACATCCTTTTTATTTGTATGGCTTGAGAAGTCCTAGATCTAACTTGCATTGATCTGTAGGACCCCTGTTTCAGAAACACACTGGAGCTTAATCATGATTTAGCCCCTACTTTAAAAATACTACATAAAATAATGAAATTAAATAAAATAAATACTTAATTGCTGCTGCTAATTTTATGATTGATCTCCTTGCCTCTACTATTGCAATTTAATGCGGTTGTGTCCAGGGACTGTTTGGAAAATATTTCAATCAATTTTAAATATAGGCAATATGGGGTTGAGTCATTTGAATAACAATTAAGGCCCTTAATATTAATGAATTCACTGCCCGTGTACAAGTTTGCATGATCCAGCATGCTACAATGTGTTCCAGTGAGAGAGTTGATTTACCTGTAGTAGAGAAAATGCCTCCGACGATGCCACAGAGTCTGACAAGAAACTGCCAGAGAGGCATGTGCTGCTCCGTGACTTTGACCATTAGTGAGCTGATATCGTATTTCATGAAGATCCCCGAGACTCCATGGCTGCCTGCAGCATGGTTTATCACTCGTTCCTGCACAGCATGGAGAAATACATGTCCATCATACTTATACATACTGCACAAATAGATATACCTGTGTACAATGTGAACCTACCCGCTCAGTGACTGAGTACTGATGAGTGTCCGCAGAGATCTTGTATGTGTTCAGTTTGGTGGGCACAATGGTGAGGAAGTACTGAAACATGTGGTTGGCTGGAAAAATAACCCAAATATGTGTTAGCTCAGTGTAAACGCATTACATACGCTAATAATGGAATAATGTTTGGCAATACAAACACACATTCGGGAGAGATTTTCTCTGTGCCGTCCAGAGGGCTGATGATCCCAGGAATCACTTCTCCAAAGGACAGGTGGTCGATCCGGTGAGAGAAGTTATAAGCTGTGACAAAACACAACAGTTTTCATCATCGTGAATACAAGTGAATACAACTGCTTTATTCTAACAACAACAACTTTAATGCACAGTAAATATTATCTGCGTTTTCCCCCAGTGTGTCAACAGACATAAAGAAGACATGTGTGCATCAATATAGTGAACTTACAGTCATGGCTGACGAGTGCAGCTAGATGGGCGTGGCCTCTGGGATGGGGGATGGACCTGTGCAGAAACATAAAGGTCAGAGGTCAGCATCTGCTAAATGTTTTCAACTTTACGTTTTATAGCTATGGCGATACGTACTTTCCAACCGTAACATGGAAGTTCCCTGCCACCTTGTTAACATACAGGTGTCCATGGATCCTGCAGGCCGTAAAGGAGCTGGGACTGTCCTCACTACGGGGGAAAAGACCAAAAACAATGGGGAGGAAATACAATCGTCATTATTGAGGGGAGGTGAAAACAATTCCTTGTTAATCTTTATAATTGTGTGTTAATTGTTAGCTTATGCTGTACCTTCGAGGCACAGCGGGAGGAGCTCCTCTTAATGCACCCTTAAAGAGAACGTCCTGGAGAGCGTGCTCCACCCTCAGACGCTCCTGTATGTGCAGTAGTGTCCTAACAGAGAGGTAAGGAAAATGTAAGAAAACAAAAACTCACTTGGTATAGGACAAAAACTATTCTATGTATGAAACACAGTTTTGTATTTGAGAAGAAAGAGGTTTCAACATGTAAAATGTACAGGCTTGCTTGTTCTCTACACATCAGTTAAAATAAATGTACTGCTTTACTTTCTGACCGTGCACCAATAGTCTATACAAAATATGAAAACGACAAACTGTAAATGTTGTGCTACACTATGAGAGCTGAATTTGAAATGTAATGTTAATAGCATAGCTTAATTAAAACAAATTCCACCATATTGCTTTAGGAAGTGTCTAGAATTACATGTTGAAAATGTAATTGTAATGCAATTTGAAAAATGTGATCTTACATGTGCCATAATCTCTGCTCTGGAGGGAGCTCAAAGTGGGCCTGAAAATGAACAAAAGACAAATATCAGATGAGCAGAAATGAAATACTCCAGTTACACAAAGAAAATAGGATGTAATGCATTTTTTCAATTCTATGACGACAACATATTTAATACCATTGTGCACACTAAAGACGCTCATACTCACTGGTTCATATTTTAAGCCATCAGAAGCAACCATGTTTTCTGCCAAATCCAGAACATCTGCACCGATATCTGCATTCAAATTAAAAACATCCGTGAGATGCTTCCCAACTAAATATGAATGAGTACTTTTTCTAAAGCTGGAATACAAATTAAATACAGAAATGTTTTGAACTTACATTGGCAGCGCATGGCCACTGTAATGTCAACGTTTATCCTCAGTTTACTGTAAGGGAAGAGCATATGCAGTTAGTGAACATACTCAGCAAAGACCACTACAGTAGGTTGAATTACAAAAACAACGTACAGCTCTTCTTTCTCTCACCTGCTGTAGTCCTTGTCCACCTCATACTCATACTTCATCCATGTGTTTGTGTACACAAAGAACTCCAGGAAGGCGAGGACAGCCATGAGAGTGAACGCTATCAGAGACACTGGAGAGAGTATCAAAATGAGTCATTGCGAAATTAAAGTCACTTCTTTACAGAGTTGGAATGTCACCCAGTACACTTAATTAAGTACTGAACTGAAATACACATTTGAGGTACTTGACCTGAATATCCAAATGTTATGCAGATGTTTACTCCACCTCATAGGTAAATACTGTAATTTCCCTACATTTGTGTGACAGCTTCAGATAACAGTATTCTTCCTGTAAAGTGAAAGCATGTATCTCTTGCTATACTGATTGTGATTGGCTGTGATAAACTGTAGGATGCAGTGTTTAATTCATTATTATGACGGGAACATTTGACTGCAGAGTAACATATTTTACATTTTAAACTCGTAATACACATTGCTGTTTTTAAATCAGGACCTTTACTAGAATAGAGTATTTTTACGGTGTGGCACTAGCTCTTTAAGGATCTGTAGTATGTGAAGGCTTCGTGGTGCTGTATGTGTCTGTGTTACCTGTCCCGCCGCTGGCTGTGGCCTCCACATAGCTCTCGGGGACTTTGGGGAAAGCGTCCAACTCCTTCACAAGGGTCAGAGCCTTCTTCTTGGTGAGCCTCCTCATGTCAGGAGCAGTAGTCGAGCAGCTTCGGGTGAGTTCCTCATAAAGTGGGTTAGTTTTCTTGCTGGTAGTTTGTTCAGTAGTAGTATTGTCAGTGTGTCTTCTGTGTGATGACGGTTAACATCACAGCTGTTAGCAACCTAGCTGGCAGTAGCACTGATGTGAGTAAAGCTAGAAAGCTAGCCGGCTAGACATGGCTACGGGCGGCTGGTCGACGTAAAATAATAAAACAATATTGTACAATTAGCCCAGTCCAAAGGGCTTTTATTCACAGAGAAGCATAACAATATCCCAAAACGTGAAGTAATTTACCTGTAGTGTTGTGAGCTATATAGCTACAGTGCTGTCAGTTCCACATCCATGGTTCAACCCATAGGTTCAACCCCATTGTCTGGAATAAAAACTGCCTCTTTCCGGACTCAGCGCCCTCTGGCGGTAGCTATCCATAACCGTTGGTTACAAACATACAGAACCACTGTGTATTAAATGTTAGTGCTTTTATATGAAGATTTCTATTAAATAACCCGCAGTCTTTTAATCGTTAACTATTTGATATTTCCATATCGCATTCCTACTCCAAATCAGTGCAGAACTGTTTAACTACACTAGATTTCTATGAAATAATCAGCAGTTTTTGAATTGTAAACTATTTGTTGTACTCAATAGTTGTCAATTCAAATACTGCCAATTATTTCATACAAATATTCATATACAAATACAAAAAACCACTAACATTCTATAAAAGGAGGTGTCCTACTTGTCCAATGTATCTAAACTGCTACATGGAGTCATTAAGTCATATGACATGGAAGCTAAAACAAAAATGTTTTGGGACTTTTCAATAAAAGGTGTCTTCAACTTCCGTTCACTCCCTTGTGGGAGGATTAATTTGTACTACCTTAAATACTTCAGGTGATAGTATACTCATATAGTGCATATTTGTAAACAAGTGTTTGCCTCGCTGAGATTATCCTGCTCTGTGCAGTATACTGGAATATTGCATGGCCCAATGGATGGATTATGAGATGCTGCCCCATACATAAATCAGATTAGTCTTATTATTTTAACATATTTAGAGGCCCACTATTGCAATGTGTCAATTCTAAACATAACTTTTTTTTTGTATTTAGAGCCCATATTTCCTAGAAAAGTTCAAATGAGTTATGCTACTAGCAACCACTTGCCACACAGTGATCTTTAGTCTTTTGGGTTCTAGGGTAACAGAGCCATTTGAGTTGACCATATTTACTGCCTTGATGCTTACAATTTGAGAGGGCTTACACATTGCTGGTTGCTTACCTTCAATTCTGTTTAAAATGTAATATCTTTGCATCTCAATTTTGATTTAAAACAAATCAAAGGACAACATTTGTCAAAGATATTGTTCATATACTTGAGCCAAAAACTGTTTCCAAGACACAATAACAAATGTCAGAGGAATTTTTTGTTATTCTTTCGTTTTTGGAGAGTCAATACAATAATTATTATGACAGTTATTATTATGGAGCAGCTTTAATATCTGATTATTAAACTCTGACTATATGCTTTTCAAAGAATCAGGAGCTATTTTTTAAATCCACAAAATTAAACTGAGATGTAAAAATATCCCAAAAACAAATGAAGCACATTTTAAAGACGGGACTTTCCCTTTTACACCAAAACGGTATCTTTAATGTTGATCAAGGGATGATTGGACCCTCCTCCCACACAGCCTGGTTTCCAGCTCTCCTCTCAAAGAGCCTCTGCCCTGCTCATGTGTTCTTGAGTAGTTTGCTGAATCACTGACATTCAACTTTTTCACTGCGATGCAAGGTGGACAGGTTTACATATAGCATCAGAATAAATGCTGCTTAAAATGTTTATGAATGCAGTAACAAACATATTTCCCTGTTTTAAAGGGGCCTACATAATTAAAACGCTTCATTATAATGCTATTGTAATAGTGTAAACAGTAGTAGCTGTGATTCAGGTTGAGAACATTAATAACGTTAATGTATTTTAAGTAACATAAATCATGATAGACATCATGAGAGATTTCTAAAGTCAGGTGTGCATCTCTTCAAACAACAAATAACACTATATGCCTATAACCATTTCATAAGGGAGGGCTTTCTTACTTTCAGTACTAAAGATACATCTATAGTGAGACACTATATCACTTCAAGTATAACCTGCTTTTTTTTAGTGCTATGCAGGCATAAAACAAATAATCATGCCGACAAATATCCAGTGTCCGCAAACAGTTCATAGCCACATCTAACATCAAGGGTTGTGACGCTCCTCCAAACAGATAATGAGTGGAAAAGTCAGCAGATATTGTTGAGGCCAACACAAACTCAAATGTACATCATGACCTCCTGCTAAAATCGTTGTAAGGTTGAAGCTCAAGAGGCTGAAATCCATTCCCATTCTGCTCACTCTATTCTGCAGGTACAGAGTCCGGACCCTCGTCCTGCAGGACAGCTGTCTCTAAGCCATCGGAGGTGGGCGTGTCAGGCGGCTCTTGAGAGAGATCTTCAGAGCATCGGCTCACAGTGGGTGAGATCACATCTGGACTTGTGTCACAGGACTCTGTGCTTTGCTCCGAAGTGGCTATTTTGATGGTTCTGGCAGAACTGGGGGGACCTGGATCAAACTCATCGTCATCGTCCGCCAGGATGGGTGATTCATGAATATCTGACAGACAAACAGACATATCTTAGACAGGATGTTTTAGGGAAGTTTACTGAGGTTATAAAATGCCAAATGGAAATAAATTGCTAACTTACTGCTGAAAGCTTCAGGGTACTGCTTAGCAATCTTCCCTTTTAGTGTCCTATAGGAGCAAAGGAGGCCAATAAACAGAGGTGTGTGATTTGGGTTTGGGTATTGTTTAAACGTTTTCTGTACTTTTGCTCATAAAATGCCCTAGTTCGGTAGAGATATTACAAAACAATATAATTTAATACCTTTTTTTGGGGAGTAATAAACCTCACCATTCGATGCCAACACTTTATTGTCACTGGGATGGATTATTGACTTCTGCATGCTGAAGGTTTGAAACGGAAGCATCAAAACTACACTCCCATTATTTCCTCACCCCTCATACCACCACCACACACCTTCCAATACAAATCACAACCTTTTTCCTCATCTACCTGTGTGTGTGTGTGTGTGTGTGTGTGTATGTGTATGTGTGTGTGTGTGTGTGTGTGTGTGTGTGTGTGTGTGTGTGTGTGTGTGTGTGTGTGTGTGTGTGTGTGTGTGTAGTGACATACCTGATCCTCCTAAAGACGCTGTCCAGATCCTTTTTCATTTCCACGAGGGTACGAGTGTGGAGAAGGAAGCGCTCGTTCATCTGCTGTAGTCGCACGTTGGAGAGCCCGTTGAAGTTGATCAACATTTCATTGGTTTTCTCAAAGCGGTCAAGCCTGTTTACACAATTTTTTCAACAAAGCAACAATTATCTTCAGATATAGGTTTTCCAAGAACAATGCAGTTCTTAGAATAACTGCCACATGCAAGGAAAATTACCTGCCACACAACACACCCATTTTATATTTGGTAATAATGCAAAGTAGCAGAAAAGCCACAAGAAGATAATCACACCATGACACTCACATGTGTCTCTGAGCCTGGATGATGGCGTTAACATCCTCAGAGTTGACCATGCTCAGCATCCTGTTGCAGAACACGCCAGATGCTGTGGGCTCCACCATTGTTACGACAAAGCTGAAAAAACAAACCTTTATTTAATAGAGCGAGTAGTATAATATGATTTAGAAGAGCTCATAAATATAGTTTAATCATAAAACAAATGGACACAGTCAGTTACTCAGTGCCGATACAGCTCGTTACATTCTTTATATAGACTAGAGTATTTGGTTAAATTCAGTAACTGTAGCACACTTGTCTTTTTCTACATTCAAACCCATGCGTTTAGTTTTGCTGTGGTATTTTAATGCATCATTTTTAACGGTGATAAACTTCATTAACGTTCAGCAAAGTCCCCTGTTAGCATCAGCAACCATGGATTATCGTTAACGTTAGCTGCTGAGCTAAACTACCGAGCGAAGCAACACAAGCTATGTTAGCTACCTCTCTATCTCCGAGGATGTTTGCGTCGACCTCTGGTTAATTTATTAGCAGATTTGAAATGATTCCTGCAGCCCGAAGCTGAATCTGACAGCTGGCAGTAATATAAAAACAAAGCACTTCCGTGTTTTTTTTTACTTTCCGGTCATAGGACCACCGTTTCCGGTACTTTAAAAAAAAAGAAAGTCCTTCCTTTTTCTTTTCTTTATTTAAAACTCCGCAAATTACAGAAGTATATTAAAACAAATCTCATCTGGTTGGATCATCGTTAATAAATAACTTCATTAATAACAGGGAAACTAGTAAACAAAATAATTGGCACATCATTAGTAGATTGTATGTTATCTGAAATAAAAGGTGTGTTTGTTCCATTTTATTTTATTATTTAGCCATCAAGTATGGAGTTACATTTTATACCATTATATAATTAAAAAAACATTCAGAGGTACAATTTTTAAAAAAAAGGCTGCTTCTCTGATCAGCCCAGAGAGAACATTAAAATAATACAGAAATATGTTTTTAAGTGACGGGGGATAAAGAATAGGTCACGTGCTTTTAATGTGTTTCCACTGTGCTTCAAGACTGCAATAATGAACAAATAGCTTAATAGTTACAGGAGTACATTTGTGTATTATTCATATCAATCACTTCAACAATATTATTTATCTTGTGCAAAAAAACTTGGAAGGCTCCTGTGCCTTTTATGTAGTGTCTTGGTTATATTTGGTGTTTCCGATCATTTCTGCAAAATTTAAAAAATCTTAATAGGAAAGGAGAAATGTATGAAAATGAAGGGCTCCCAAGTTTTGCTTCTTCTGCGTCTTCTCAAATGCAAAAAAAATCTAAAGTTGGATCTGAGACTAATACCTGATGTTATGTGGTATATAACAAAAACACAGCATCTCATATTCAATAACTCCATACTTCCTGAAAATTCACAAAAGTACTTTTATTAAGGGACAAGTAAAAAAAGTACATGATTTATAAAAAATACAAAATTGCTTTGTCTAACTTGTAAGCTAAGTAAATGCATAGCAACAGTACATGCAAGTCTAAAGTTAAATATCCTACAATTCTGTAACATTGTTAAGCTACAGGCTAAAAGGGAAAAGTACATTTTGGTTGCAATCTATCATTCAGTCTACATGATACATATCCAAAGTGATGGTACAGAATAAGTTAGGTTGCACGCAACTCAACTGATGAGTAAATAAATACTTAACATTTCACAAATATTGACATCCGGTAATTCAACGCAATGTTAAATGAAGCCTGCGTGAGAATTACATTCGATTTATGAAGTAGAAAATCCTTCTACATTTAAGCTAAAGATGAAAATAATTCATAGTATTACACTTCTAAGCAGGGATGCAGTGATACAAATAAATATGAAATAAATAAATAATGAAACCCATATAACAGCCGCATGGCTTACCCAACCCCTTATGTACATACCACACCCTCTGCTGCCGACTACAACATCACATGTATGAAATTTCCTTAGTGTTCTGTTTGACATAAACATACATACAAATGACCTCGGAGAAGCACAAGTGTCCATAGAAAACCTGCATTGATTTGACATTGGGTGAATTTCAATGTGCTTTGGCTTTCGTTTGATAAATAAGGTAATATTAGGCTATATATCACAACACGTTTGTGGTATAGAAGAGGCAATGGCATAGAATTTCAACTTGTACAAAGTTGTTTACCTATCCTGACCCAGGAATGAAGGGAATCACTGATATTGATATTGTTGAATGACTATAGACCGATTTAGTTTTACTGTTTTGTGTGGTATTGTTATGCAAATAATTATTTTTCCTTTTTTTTCTTTCTTACATATAAAAATAAGTTAAAACTTCAGAGAAATGGATCGAAAAAAATAAAAAGCAAGATTTACAGTTTATATAAGGCCATGCAATTTTAGTAGACTCATGCATCAGATCGTTAGGTCTTTGGGATGAGTGGGCTTGCCATTCATGCAAAATGCACTGTGTGTTTCTGAGGCCACAATAAACATACTGTCCCTTTGAGTTCCTTAATACCGATCCAGAATGAACACTAGCACTGTCTGTAACACATCATTAAGGCTGGTGTATTTGCTGTTGAAGCTGTGAATAGGCCTTGTTTAAAAGGGACCCACACAGGTATTTGCACATGGAGACAGTCTATAACAAACTCGTTGATAGGAATGGGGGCGAAAAGACAAAAACAAAAGGGCTACTGTACAGGTCTGTGCTCTGTCAATGTAAAGTGTCATTCATTCCAAAACAAGATATCCACCCTTTCAAAAAGAGCCATCTACTCTCAACAAAAGGAAGCAAAACTAATGCCATTATTTATTAACATATATGCTCCTGAAATATCCACACTGAGAATGGATTCAGCTGTATGTTTGAAAAGTTGAGTAATGAATTTCAAGTAGCACCCTTTTCTCTGAGTTAGTGGATGTGTTTTGGAATAAAATCTTTTGAATGTACCAGCAAACGAGAGCTCCAGCATTTAATCTAAAGTAGTTTAAAAACACCACGAAAAATGGTCCATCGTTAGAATGGAATGAATATTAAATACAAAAAAAGAGTGGAAAAACGACAGTTCATAAGTTACCATTGAAACTAAATAAACAAACCTCCAACATTTGTATGGAGAAGACCAAAGGATTTTCAGCTGCTTTATGATTGAAGGCAATCTGAGGCCACTTCTTTCTGTAACTGCTTGAGAAAAAAAACAGCTCCTCAAGATTTCTTCAGAGATGTGTGCAAGGCGGAGTTTTGAGTTTACCACCCAGCCTCCATCCCCACCGTAACACATAGCTGTGCAGGCTCTGCACCTTCCTCACACCTTGTTGTCTCCTTCACTTCCTCTTCCGTCTGGGATTCATGTCCGCTGACACCCAGGCCCACCTGCCCCTCCTCTATCTCCACCTCTTCCTCCTCATCTTCCTCCTCCTCCTCTTCTTCCTCCTCCTCCTGCTGCTGCTGCTGCTGCTGCTGCCGTTGTTTGTTACGGCAGCATGGTTTGAACAAATGGGGGTCGATGAGCACCTCCCCGAAGCGCCCCTTGTAGATTATCCCACAGCACACCTTTTGCCTAGACAAAACACAACACATTGCATCTATTCAAGTGTGTGAAGCAACACCAAAACAATTAAAAGGGTCCTTCTGTGTCTTTACATGCTTTAGGCCATTATTAAAAATGGAGTGAGTGAGTAACTTTGTTATCCTTGTATGCCTCTACAGTAAACAAAGAAATCGAAACCTAAAAAGATTCTTGAGGAATTGATGAAATAGATATAAAATATAACATGATATCGAAACATCTTTTTACAAACTCACACAACTCCTGCAGTACATTTTAAGTCTCATTTATCAATTTGTATGCTCTGTACTTCTCAAACATATGCATTTATTCAAAACCATACTTCTAAAAACACTTGAATAATCGGTATCATGCTTGTGCAGAAACACTACTGGTCAATGTGAGTACTCTATGCAGAAGTCTTAAATGAATAATTAGTGACGTTTTAGTAAAAAATGCATGTGTTTCGAAAGTAGTGATCGTACGACTAGATAAATGAGACATAATACTGCACAAGTTGAGTGACAGTAGGTAAACATATGTTTTGATATAGTTTTGCTTTTGCTAAACAGACCCCATGTTTATTTCAATTCAACAAGAATGTTCTCCTTTTTTGGATTATTTTCTCACCGTGGATGTGCATTAGAAAAACAGCTTTCTTCAAGATAACACAGGCTGAGTGATTGATATGGAAATTATCCTTTTTAGGATGACTTTTCTTTAAAGTCATTGACCTCTTGCCTTAACAATTCAAGCATGTATCATCTATTATGTCAATAAAAAGCTGACTGAACTTGTTTCTGTAAATATTAAATAATAAGTCAGTGCTTGTGCTATACTGTCTAACTTACCTCTTCCAGTAAGTGAGGTCCAGAAAGGAGAAAACCGGGGAGCGGCTGGATCCTGGGCTGAGCTCTGAGTCTGAGCCGTCATCTGACAGGTTGCTGTAGCTCGGAGACTGAGCTGGGGAGGTGCTGGAGGTGGTGCTCTGTGCATCTGAATCTGAGGGTGGAACAATGAAGGGGTTATATTAAATATTTGTTGTGTATGAAAAAATAATTTACTCTTAAAGGGAATGAAAAAGAAAGATCCATAAGACATTTATCTGAATGCCAAAATGCAGAACTCACTGTTTCTTTTGAGCTCTTTCTGCAGCCTGCTGATCTGGCTCGGCTGGGCTTTCTTGGAGATGGACTTTATCTTCTTGGGCCTGGAAGTTATCTTTAGGCTAGGACCTCCTCTGGCATCAACAACCTGTATGCAGATGAGAGGAAATTAATAGTACTACATAAATCAGTTATTTTATCATGACCATGCAATTCATGCAAATCCAAACTCACGTGGTTCCAGTTCTTCTTGGTCCCCACTGGAAGCTTTTTCCATCGCTTTACCAGGAGCACACAGGCGTTACAGATTTCTCCAGAACGAGTTTCGCACAGCCTGCAAGATAATTATAGTTTATTACATAGAAATTACAGAAGGAAATTGTTCAAATCAATAAGGTGTGTTGAAGTGGACACATTAAGGCGGATCTCTCCCTCCAAACCTCACGAGTTCTGCTGTGTCTCTTACCCAAAACAGCTCCTGAAGTCTTTCTCGTATCGCTTACTGTCGGTGAAACGAGAGCTTGACGACTTGGCACGGCAGATGCAGCAGCCGTCCAAACTCCTGTACATCTTTGGCTTATGAAAGCCAAACATCTATGTGCGAAAAATATATTTCAATATTAACATCTCAAGCTCTCATCGGTGAGCATGACGTGTTATCGGCAGTAGCCTACCTCCCTGCAGCCATATATATTTTATTGTACCATTTCAGTTCATGTGAATTAATGCAAACAATGCTGGTGTTTCCCACATTCACCGAGCACTACAAACATTCAGGGAAAGTGATTTTGATGGTGCATATCTCTCCGCTTTGACCCACATGGGGGGGAAGTAGGTCAACAGTCAGACAGCGTGTCAGACAGATCATGTCACCATACTGAGCTCACAGAATGCACGCTTCATTTTGGGAACACAAAATATTAGCACGCACTTAGTCTTATCCTCGAGGCTGCACAGGATACGTTATTTGCTGGTGTTTAAATGTAAGCATATTGCCAGAGTAATGTAAACATTTGAATGTGTGTTGGGGAATTCACTCGTAATGCAATAAACACGCCGATTATGCAGAGGAATTATGATTTAGGTTGCTAGGCAAAATGTAATCTCCACAGCACATGTGGATCTGAACTGCGGCAAAACTGCGAGCCGCGCCCCCCAGACTGGGCTTTTTTTCTTGCCATCAGTCCTCGGGGTCCTCAGAGAGCAGACAGAGAGCAGGAAACATGAGAGACCTCTCACTCTGCTGGTTATATCACACACAACCTAAATTGAACGATGAAGGGGAAATATAAGAACCATACAAATGTATCCCGATGACGGCAGATATCAGAATGACTACTACAAGGAAGTTTGCATGAGGATGTAAATCACATTTTAAATAACTTACAGCAGTAATAAATCTAACATCTGTAAATCGACAATTAAAACTGTGGAACGTTATTATTTATTAAAATATATCTTGTATTATGTCAGTATGATGAAGTCTGTACAATAATACTCATCAAGGCTATATCTAGCCTTGCAAAGCCAGATGTAAAAGTATACACATTCTTGGAATTGCTTGTTGTATACTTTGTATATAATACTTCAGAAACTTGCAAACAAACTTGCAGGTGAAGTTTTTTAAACCAGAAAGGTGTAGGCTAGTTATACAGAATGAAAAGTAAGAGTAGTACATTCAACTTATAGGTCTATTATAGACCCTCATTTAACAAACGTATTCAACATACAAAAACATGAGTAACAAAAAAATCACATGTAAGAAGGGACAAAATGGTCAAAAGGGTATTACAATATATTTTTTAAGGTATAATCTACGTATTTACATGTCATTTTATGTTTGTTTTAAAATAAAACAGTAACCTTGTATCAGCTCAGTGCCTGTAGTATACTACTAGTAAGACCACGTATTCACTCTCGAGTAGCTCATCTGTAAACTGCAGACGATCTCTGCAGCAGAATACGGTAGCCTACGTGACGCAACTCAACATGGTAACACACTTCAGAGGCGGAGGCAGTGTGGAGAAGGGGGTGTGATGCGATTTCCCGAAAAAGCCGTAATATTAAAAGTAAACTGAAAGAATCCAGCAGAAAGCAGTTCAGACTTGCTTAAATAACATGTGTACTTACTCAAATATAAGAATAGCCCGAGAAATTCGCTTGTTTTTATCGAGAGAAAAGTGCAAGTCGCCAATTTCACCGCCCACTTCAGCGAGGAAGCATGGCATGCCACACGACCTGCTTCATGCGCACCCATTTTATGATGACCGTCCCCTGCACGACGATGCCCGACTTTCCTTCCCAACATTAACTTTATGTAGTGAAATCAACTAATGCAAACACATTTCGGAAGGAAACGTCGTATTTTCGACTGTAAAGGAAAGACTTTCCGAGAGAATCGTGAAATTTGATCTTTACTCTTTGTTATTCCACAGCCGCGTCACTGCAACAGTCCACCTTCAACTACATGTGCACGAAGTTGAAAGCGAGGGCATGCTTAAAGTCGGTTTTTGTGCTCTTTTTAAACACTAAACAACATGTTCTTGTACCCAGCGTGAGTTTCAGGAGGCGTTCATGGCCAGTTTAGTGTTTGCGGTGGCTGTTTTGTTGACAGCGGCGCCCGCGTGCTGAGACTGAGACGCATCTTTCGTCCGGGTGGGCGTGAGAGATTCAACTTGTCTTATTTAGCAGGAGCAGACTGCAGGCGCACTACCACAACAATGTGGATATTAATGCATTTTAGAAGACTGTGTTTCCGACCGTAACGATCTCAGTAACCGACCGCCAAATTTCGGGATTTTAAAGAGGGACGAATTTCCTCCGACAACAATAACAACAGCCATCTCTCGTGCCTGCGTATGAAGCCAATTCTGACACTATTTAACACATTTTCGCATACAACTCCCCTTCTTCACACTTTGCACGGTTACTTTAACTGTTTATAAGGCGAATTACACACGGAGTTGACCACCCAGCCGGTGTTGCTGCAGGCCTAAAAAGAGCAATTGTTCTGAGACAACTCGGAGCTTGTTTTAAATGTCACATCTGAACATACAGCGAATACTTTTAAACCAAGTAAAGCTTCAAAGATCAACCACACGTTTAGAAATCAGATGCGGTCTTTACCTTGTTGCAAGCTGCGTGGATCTGATACAAAGTAGTACTCCTTACAGCGCTGTGCTACGATGTGACTATTATGAAATCAAGCCGCATCAGTAGCCCGCTCCCTTGTTGATGTCTGCGCCTGTGGACGGGACTGGATAGTTGTGGACAAACTGCGCATGCGTTGTATCCACACCTCCATTTCAGAGTAGGGCAGAAGGCTTTTTTCTTTTTCTTCAATCAAAGCATTTACATAAACGACGTGTGACGTGTCCGTGCGTCTGCATGCTACTGGCCTTATAAGGATGGGAACATTGCGCGGGAACAGGGGGCTCGGCCCCGGTTGCTATGGCACATTGGAGAGCGTAAGCAAGGGGGCGGGGCCTGTCGTTTTACTATAGAGCGCCAGATGGCTCGTCTGCAGGCTCGGCGTCTAGCAGCGAGAAGCGCTTTGTTGATTTCAATTGCGTGACAAATTAGTGGTAAATAAAAGGTGGGAGAAACATGCCCTCCTCCATCCAGTGGTCAGTTCAGGGCGATAAACCACTTGAGTGATCTGACTGTAGATTCGTCTGATTAATGTGTTTCAGTACTGGGTCAATAAGAAGGGTTTTCTCTGGAGTAATTCTCACAATTTCCCGTGGACTACAGTGTATACAATATATAATACTAATAATTTAACATAAACTAGAAAAGTTACTTGTTTGATTTAAAGATGCCCTCTTTGTCAAATGACAATGAAGGAATCTTGTTAAACCCAAATTAGAAACATAGAAATCAGGCACAGTTATGGCAGTGAATTTAATCTTTTTTATAGAAAACCTATCAAGGAGTCAAAGGTCTGCACAGCTCAGAAAACCCTCCCTCTGACCCTTAGAAATTAGACAGTTTAAAAATCATTCAAGAGAAAAACTGGAAAATTATTCAGATTTGTTTTGTTCAAAATCCAAACATGTTTTGGTGCAGTGACAATGACAGAATGGAACGGTAATTTAATTTGAATGCTGATAGGTTGGCTATGTTTTTTTTACTAAAGCTTGGATAATCATTTTAATATGCAATATTCTTATATCCATTCAGACACCACATATTTGAGTTATGAACACAAAAAAAGTCAGTTATGTCAATATTATCTTTAATCTTTTACAACACAATTCATAAATAACAATTCATTATTGCTTTCTCTAATCTGTGTTTAAATCATAGTAGAGGCTTGGTCATTGTGGGTTACATAGTGCTTGCAGGACAGTGCAGGAGACAGTGTTATCTTAATTCAATTCAAATGAATCAACATTAACATAATACCTAGCATTTTTTAAGAAACTGTGCTCTATTCATTGCCTAAAGAAAACAGAACAGTTTAGAAACAACAACATGACTGTCATTCACATAATCAGTAAAATGTGTCCATAATGGAATCTATGGTTTTAAATAGACGCAAATAAGATGCCTTTATACATAAAAATGTGCCACAAATTAATTACACCATAATAACAAATGGGCACAGTTCTATCAAAGGTCCAATAAAGCAAAACATAATGACAATGAGAGAGGCAGGGAAAGCTTTTTGACAAGAGAGACAAATGCTATTTGAACAGACACATTTAGGACACTAGTTTGGTTTCAGTGTTTCAACAACGGAGGATTTCAGGAGCACAACTCTTCAGTAAGTGAGTCCAAACTGAAGTAAACAATGAGCACAGGCAAAATGTTACAAATGTTATAACAAGAGCATAATAATATAAGATTTTTAACATATTATAGAGTACGGACAATTATCTTTCTGGAGTATATGTACTAAGATATCCAATTAACAAGATCAGAAATAAATGTATATAATAAGGCCTGAGTCTTGATATTTCAGATCACAACACACTAAGACATAAAACAAACAAACAAACATATTTTGGCCATGCATGTGCTTAGTTTAAAGTTCAAGTGCAAGCAATACAGCAGTTGAAGGAGAGTTATAGTTGTCCTCGGGTCAGGTACAGGTAATGGTGTGAACTGTGGGAATATCTACTGTAGATGTGGGATGATCAACGTCTCTATCTCTCCTCGAGGAAACTGAATTTCACAGTGTAAACAAGCATAGGACTGTTTCCTGAAGCAAATACAGTATAACACATTTACATCATTGAACAAGGCAATATGTTTGGAGCTTGAGTTGCCAGTGGCTTCATGTAGTCCACAGTCCTCTTTTATGATAAAGTCATATTTCTCCAAGTTCTGAATGTTCTTATCCAACAGATGGAGAGATATTTTTAACCCTGCATTCCTGCTGTAGGTTACAGAATAGGGGTTTAATCTGTCAGGGGTCAGAGGTCAACTCCTTTGACCAGTGCAGTCTCCAGGGTGATGCTGAACTCATTGAGAGTGTGCAGGATGCGGGAGAGGGAGTGGACAGCAGCTCGGTCCCGCAGCAGAGACCCCTCCTCGTACGTCCGCAGTGTCAGAGGAAACTCTGCCAGCAGTGGGAGCCACTGAGAGAGAAGCCGGTCCCTGCCAGGAAGAAGAGGTTGGTGGTTAGTACTGGTCCTAAAAATGCCTGATAAAGTTTAAGATTGGAACAGGTTGAGTTAGGTGACTACAAGACCTGGCTGTGTACCTTTTAATGAAACCATTTTCAACCATAAGAAACTAGGATTCATTTCATCTAAATATTTTCTAAATGGTAATATGGACCAGTGCAATATCCAAATCGCAGGTGGGGGAAATGTTTGTCAAAAGGCTAAATAAGTGTCATAGTACCATTTTTTACAAGCTGTATTCTATTGACTGACTTCTCAAATGATCACACAATGATATTTTTTATATATAGATATGTTTTGTATTAAAATATTGATAATTGATAAAGATAGTCAATTCCCTCCATTATCTTGAATCCTATCACAGTATAGGGAATCTCAATAAGATATTTTGTTTTCAAAATGTTCAGCATTCATTTGTCAAGTTTTCTTTCCTTCAAATTGCAGGCCAAAGCACTGACACGTAACCTGAACAAAAAGATCGCCAAATAAGGTCTTGTTTAGTTAATTGAAAACAAAATATATTATTAATACTTTTATTAAATTCACTTAGATCTGAATGATTTTTCTGCATCTCTTGTCCAACCAATACGAAGATGGACACTTAGCGTTTCTGAACTGCGTGTTATGTAAAGGGTTCAGTGTGAGTGTGAATGACCAATTCTTTAAATCAGATTATAGTCCATTAAAACTGTCTCCCTATTTATGGTTCACAAATATGTTTTTTAAGTGTATTAAACTGGATTCATTACAATATAGTACGAGTCCAATAATAAACCTATACTTGTTTTATAAACACAATGATGTCCACTCACCTGATTCCCAAGCAGACTAACAGCTGGAACTTGCCCTCTTTTCCAATGTTTCGTTGAGTGGCATTGATGGCGTTGACGTAGCGGCACAGTGAGTCACACGGCGGACCTCTTGTCATCGTTGCTCCGTGCAGGTCACCCATCTGATCAGCCGTCTCCATGGAAACCACTGCCTTCTCTATAGGAAAGAGTTCATCACACTGTCAGTTCATAACATATTGATATACAGAAAATAAGGTTGTAGAAGACAAACAGTGGTTGTTAACAAAACACATCAATCGTACTTTGTTGCATGCAATTTGATATGTGACGTTCATATTCATCACCACTAGATGGAGACAGGATCAGTAAAGCATCACTTTGAATGAACTCGCAAGGCTTACCCACAAAGTCCCAAACAAACACGTTCCTCAGGAAAAGACGGTTAGATTTGAGCCCGTGCAACAGGAAGTTCTCCAAGGAGAGCACCAGACCTCCTTCTCCACACAACAACACTGTCAGGTTTTCCCCGGGGGAGGGGGGGGGGGAGAAATGGGAGTGAGCAGAGGCACTAAAAGCAGGAGGCACATCTTTAAACTATAGTACATCCCCTGAAATGTCCTCAAATCCAAAATCCTCATGTCTCATTTACTAAAAGGTAGTAAACAGAGCAGAGCAAATGCTAGTACATTAGAGCCTGTGCACTAAAGATGCTATTACAATAAATAGGAGGCCCATTACAGATAAACAAAAAGTGATCCATCAAGTCTCTTTAGAGATTTTAACATGCGATTGAGATGAGAGAGAGGCTAGTCTGATACACAACGAGAAAAATGAGGCCTGCGCTGGGGCCGGGGTAACGAACCATGTTAGAGATCAAAATAACATGCAGGAGGATGACAGTCTCACAGCGCTGCTTGAGATGCTTTGCATTAACCATTTTCCTCCCAATTTAGCTCAGTCAACCAACAACTTAAATGAATATGTTTTAATGTGTAATGCACACTAAACTATTTATTTAGAGTCACATACCTCTTGTTCAGGTTTGTGAAAGTGTTTAACAAGGTTGTTTGCTGCCTCTCTCATTTCTTCTTGTACTTCACTAGAAAGCATTCCTGTCAGGATAAATAAATAAAAGTTAGACAGAACATTAGGATGAATGATGACTAGCATGAGGGGAAGTGGCTTGGAGCTAAATAGAAAGGTGATACAGGAGCATAATCTGTTATTGTACCAACAACTAGGTCAGCTATTGTAACTAAAGAATGTGTTCTTTGTCAGTACGCACTGCTTCTACTGCCAAGCGATCCCAGCACTGCCCGCACACTCTGCGAGGGAGAGGCCAGCTCCGGCGGCGTCCCTGTCCACCGTCCAGCATCCTCCTCTCCACCAGGTGACACCAGCTGACCAATCAGAACTCTCTCCAGGCTGCCGTCTCCCACTCCTTTCCCCAGCCATCGGCCACATGGGAACCTTAAAGGTAGGAAGAGACATGGTCTCATTATATGCTAATATTTATTATACAAGTGCCATTCCTTAATCAGTTCAGATTTAGTCAGTGTACATAGTTTATTTTCACAGTACAGTCACTCAATTTCAAAGTCTACACTACATTATTATAATGTGATCAAGCCGCTGTCTCAGAAATCTCAAATCATCATTCATCGTGTAAATGGAAGCATTAAGTTGAGTAAAATGCCACCACCAATTCGCCCAATTTCAATAATCATTACACAAATACATTTTGAAAGTAAAGTATTCAATGATTTCTTACACAGTCAACTAACAATAGTCATAATTGGTTAATCGTCGAAATATAAGATTTTTTGCTTTTCTGTGATTTAAATAAACGTTTTAACTGAATATATTTGAGGTTTAGACAAAAACATCACCTTTGAAAAATTGGATGGATATTTACGCTTTTTTCCGACATTTTAATAAA